GTATCCACAATACGGTCTCCTTGCACGACAAAGAGAGATCACACAACAATTTAAGAACAGTTTAATACTGGCACACTAACTATATTGTACAATAAAAATATGCATGTATCAGTGAAAAACAGTGCAAAAGTCTTACTTCTTGATAAGGTCATATTTGAAGTACAGACAAGATCCACTGCAAATCATCACATCACATAAATCCTTCATAAGGAAATCTGAGGCACAAAGTATTTCGTTCACATAATGCTGACGTGGTATATTCAATTTAAGTTTCATTCACAGCTGGCATGGTACAGCCCTTCATAACAACTCCCGAAAACAGAACTGAACACTTTGTGTTCATCTAGCTTGAAAACGACAAATAGACAACGAACAATAAGGTAGCTTAAACACAGACAATGGAAAGTTGTTGCACTGGTAAACAGCTTCTTGTTCAGTCCCACGTACAAACATCTCTTCCGAGCTTTACTGTTAATCACTCACAATGTAACACTATATATATAAAGTATGAAAGTAATCATATTCATATTTTCTCCATGGAAGATATATATGTAACAGATTCTCATAACAATTGGTATTTGCCGAATCTTCCGTTTATCTACTTTGCATAACTTATCTGCATATTTACGTAATTGGGGTATGGCATACATATTGTTATGGCATAAACTTGTGTCACAGATAAACACTTTATTTATAGGAAAAACAATCTTCTCTAAACATACAGACACGCAAGAAGCCGTTTATAAGGGATTAACATGAGTTAGTAAGGAGAGTCAACACAACTGTTCAAGATTAGACGGTGGGTTGTGGCTGCGTCTTACCAAAAGACGTTAAAAATGGTACTTTATGTTACTCAGCCTTGTGATTGGCTTGGAACCAGTATAATGTGGGTGAGTGAGGTATCAATATTAAAGTAGCATTGTCTGGACTAGAAACAACAGCCACACACTTCATTATGTACAGGCCCGTGCCAGTTACATTGGGACACTTGACGTTATCTCCATAGACTTGCATGTTATTTCAGTGTAGCATAAATATTTTTCATGAAGTGAGTTTAGGATGGATCTATGTAAAGTTTGACAGGCAAATAAGAAATCATCTCTGCTTTCCGCACATAATGTCAATTTAATTTTCCCACCACTATTTAACTAATGACATCACATTTATCAACTTACGAATGGTTCCACAATGCACAATCCCATAGGCCGCCATGTTAAAGGAATTGTTGCCATTCGATAAATAGGTAACGGAAAATTAAACAGAAATTATGTGATTGTAGGTAAGATGATTCCTCACAAATGTGCAAAATTTGACTTGGATCATACGAAAATGAAATTCCTGAAAACTATTATGCTACACAAAATTGACATGGAAGTCTATGGAAATTACGTCAAGTGTCTGAATATAAGTGGCACGGGTCTGTAACTGAATATTCTTTAAAGCAACGCCACACTCGATTTCACTTCATCTACCAGTCTGTAGTTGAACATGCACTTAAAATGTATCATTATTCATCATGTGTTAACACACTACAAACTGTGGTAAACGTGTGAAGTCTACTACACACGCTATTTAGGTACTAGTTCTTCCAGCCTGAGGTGAATAAGCACTGTATCATTATTCATCGTGTGTTAACACACATCAAACTGTTTTATATGAACAAGGCTTATTACACACACTGTATTTAGATACTTATTGGGACTTTAGGGGATCCAGGGATAGGAGTGACTGAGTGAGGGAGAGTATAGTTTTACGCCTCTTTTAGCAATATCCCAGCAATTTCATGGCGGGGGACACCAGAACTGAGCTTCACACATTGCATCCATGTGGGGAATCGAACCCGATTCTTCGGCTTGACGAGCAGGGATAAGAGTAACTACCCACATAGCATGGTAGTTTAAACATCAACTGGGATCAGGTAATCCTAACGTAATACCAGTACAACCTCAACGGAAGACCAACGTCAACGCCTCTACACCTGACGTTAACCGTATTTCAGAACAGCCCTTGCAGTGTCATTTACACTTTCTAATCTAATCATATACATAACCTGCATACCGATGTCACGTATATTTGAAGGTCTTCATAGCCGGTGAAATAACATATCCAAATTCAATCGGTTGTGCACATGTTGTACATCTTTTTCAGTCCCACGTACACAAACCTCTTCACAATAAAAACACACACGCTCATAGCTAATCTATTTGTGTCTACAAACATATAATTTTAAAGTTACTATGTTGGGAAAGATTTATGTGCAGTCGGTGGAGGTGTATATATATATATATGTTTTGAACATTATGTATTCCATGCAATTGTACATAAACCGGACTGGTAAAGAAATTATCAATGTCTCACATTTAGACAGCTACAAAAATAAGACAGAAAATATGAATACTAAACTATACACATGAAAAATAAGTGAGAATTTTGTTTATCACAAACTTTAATCAGAATTTTTAGCTTTCAGCCGGTATAATGCAAATTTAAATTACGATGTTTAGACGGTATAATGCATATTGTTAAGCAGTAATTCTAATAGTCATTAGAGTAACGTTTTTAAACGGACTAATTGTATAAAATAAATATACTCATGGAAACAAATAAGGGAACACGTGAAAGTACAAGTGTTCCTTTATTCTTTTCCAGGTTTCTTCACAAGGTATGTATTGCACTGTGGGTGAAATTCTGGAAATAAATAAAGGAACATTTGTACTTCCATGTGTTCCCTTATTCGTTTCCATGAGTATATATGAACAGATTTCAATATATTGCGTGAACTATAAGTGGACAGGTTTGCAATTTCCCTTCATACATGTACTGTGGTAAAGTCGTATACCATTTCTGTGTTAAAAGTAGGAATTGTGTCTCAACTCTCAGAGCTCATTCTCTTGGTATAAGCGTGCATGTTGTGTCACTCATCCTGTGCTGTATAATTCTTACATGTAGCTCAAGAAAGGTTGCATATTAAATATATTTAATAATTAAATATGAATGTAAATGCGCTCCCACATAATTTCTCCTTCACCAAGTATTTAATGGTTGATTCTGGAGTAATCAGCGTTAGTTGCATGTATGTGAAGGTATGGCATTCAGATCTCTCCATGGTGGAATATAGTTCAAGAAGTCATGATCAAATCCCTTTCAATTATAAACAAATTACTCACAGTTCAGTGCACGAACGTCACCTCTGCTACGACGCATTTTCACAATAATGTGTGAATAGCGATATTATTGTGGCTTCCACATGTTGCAACTGTAAAATTGTTTCCATATGTTTGCGCTTCAAACACCGCCTCAAGGCGTTTACACACTCAACGCTGTTTCGATAGTGTTACCATAGCCATTCTGTTTAATTGTTGTTTCATTTGAAATAACGTTTCAACATGATTGCAGTTTTAGCACTGTGTGAATATGAATTTATGACAATTTCAACACTATTCCATTATTCCATTACTGTTTTGCATGTTGCACACTGTTTCCAGTATGGTTGCACTTGTTATACTGTTTCAGGGTGGTTGCACCTATACACTGTTTCAGTATGGTTGTACCTGAGATACTGTTTCAGTATGGTTGCACCAATATTGTTTCAGTAATGGTATACTGGTTCAGTGTGGTTGCACCTGTTATACTGTTTCAGTATGGTTGCACCTGACATACTGTTTCAGCTGATATGGTTGCATGGTTGCATCTGTTATACTGTTTCAGTATGGTTGCACCTGTTATACTGTTTCAGTATGGTTGCACCTGCAGTATGGTTGCATGGTTATACTGTTTCAGTATGGTTGCCTGTTTATACTTGTTATACTGTTTCAGTATGGTTGCACCCAATATACTGTTTCAGTATGGTTGCACTTGTTTGCTGCACTTGTTATACTGTTTCAGTATGGTTGCACTGGTTATACTGTTTCAGTATGGTTGCACCTGTTATACTGTTTCAGTATGGTTGCACCTGATATACTGTTTCAGTATGGTTGCACTGGTTATACTGTTTCAGTATGGTTGCACCTGATATACTGTTTCAGTATGGTTGCACCTGATATACTGTTTCACCTGATATAATTGTTTCAGCATGGTGCAACTGTTATGGTTGTATGGTTGATATACTGTTTCAGTATGGTTGCACCTGTTATACTGTTTCAGCATGGTTGCACTTTTGCTATACTGTTTCATATACTGTTTCAGTATTGTTGCACATGATATACTGTTTCATATGTCTGTTTCGTTATGGTTGCAGCATGGTTGTGGTTCCACTACTGTTCCCATACTGTTTCAGTATGGTTGCACCTGGATATACTGTTTCAGCATGTTGGTTGCACTTGCACCTGATATACTGTTTCAGCATGGTTGCAACTGATATACTGTCCCAGTATGGTTGCACCATGAATGCTGTTTCACTATAGGTGCTGCATTAAAGATAAAGGTAGGTAATATGGTTCCACGTGATTGGACATTTGATATCGTTTCAGTGGTTGCACCTGTTCGTAGTTTCTTCCCATTTGCACTTTTAACTGTGTTGCCATATGATTGCACCTGTGACATTATATTACTGTTGTACTTCCTGTCAAAGTGTGTCAGCACTTTGTCTGTGATACATTCACATCATATTCACCGCCGTTTTGAATTTTACGAAAAGTGATATATATTTTGGCAGAACATCTTAAAAGAATATTCTCTGGATTCCACGTTATATAGTTCCATGTGGTAACAACACTATCATGGTTCCAGGAAGTGTGAAGATGGTTGCAACACTAACATGGTTCTATACTGATGCACTAGTATTTTGTCAACCTAGTGTATGACACAGCACTCATTAATCAATACAATCTTTTTAACATATGATATCTTATACCCCATAACCACCTGTATGCTGCAAAGTCGGTATCCAAAGTCATGTTACTTCATCTTGTTTGACAGTCATAATAAAAGATAATACCTCTGTGACGCTAAACTTTCTTGAAAACATTCAACCACCTTAAAGATGACCGAGTTGCACTTACCTTCAGGCAATTCAACTTCAACGGAAGGTATAGGATTCTTGGAAGAACTTCGTTTCCTCCTGTGGAACATAGCACGCAGGAAGAACGCCATGGTGATGTGAAGCCGCTGTGAAAACTGTAAATCCTGTTAAACGTCCGTGAAAAGACTATGGATTTTAAAGTAAATCCTCACGATGTACAAGAACAGCCTGCCTTCAGCCGGTCCAGGAACTTGTCCAAGGAACGCAACTAGCACAAGGCGAGTCACCAGTAGTCGTATCACAGTCTAAATAATCAATCTCCAGCTAGATATACATACAAATAGCCGGTGCACAACGGTCGCCTGAATTATACTTTCACACAGTAATCTACATACCGCGTACAGCGTTACTGCACGATGGTATCATCGCACAAACTAGTATTGCAGTAACTAAATTCCTAGCTTCTTCTTTGTCGCACGTGATTTAATGTTGAGGATCCTCAGCCCGGAACATGTTGCAGTAGTAGACTGGTGACACTGTATCGATTACTGCGGACTGTGCGATATGGTCTTTACAGCTGTTTGTACAATATCTTCTGTTTGAATCAGGTGCAGCACCAACTGTCACCAGCTGTAAAAGGATAGAACAGTTTTAATGAATTCACACAGCATCACTGTAAAGAAAACACGGAAATCGTTAGGTGAACAATGTGGGTTGCATACGCTAACATACTGTATTAACAGAGGGATGACTTAAACGTTTCAGCCGTCTACATGCACTTCCAAATGAGCAATATTCCAGCAGCTCTGGTCCTTGGTTTCAACATTTCATTTTTTTTCAGGAGCAATCAAGCATGTTCTTTCAAGGGTGTTTTCAAGGAGTGTTAATACGACTGGGTTCTCCGGCAACAGAATGCAGGCCTTTAAATGTTTCATTTCTAAATTTGTGTTGGTTGGTTTGTTGTTTAACGCCGCACTCAGCAATAATCCAGCTATATGGCTCTGGTCTGTAAATAATCGAGTATCATAATTGTTTGAGAGTGACTGTTATGTTGTATTTATTGTGGAACAGTGCTGTAGCTGTATTACATTATTTAAGAGTATTGTTAAGATTCGGTTTCCTATTTAGACTGTAAGAAAGGACTGGGTGGGAAAAACCTTTTGAGCCTGTTCTGAAGTATTTGGGTGTTGTCTGACTCAAAGGGTTAGAGAAAGTTCTAGACCAATTTCTTAGACAAAGGGGCGTCTGTCCTACCTCATATTAAATATAATTATATGAAGGCCAGCAGCTGTGTGAAGATCATTTTTCACTCTGGTTGATTGTTGTTTAACGCCGCACTCAACTATATGGCGGCGGTATGTAATTTATCGAGTCTGGACCAGACATTCCAGTGATCAACAGCATGAGTATCGATCTACACAAATGGGATACGATGACATGTGTCAAGCAAGTCAGTGAGCCTGACCACCCGATCTCGTTAGTCGCCTTACGACAAGTATGGGATGCCATGACCAATTCTAACTCGGATCGTCAGAGTTCTTTTCACTCTGGATGGTCAACATTGAACCACTGGATATCACCATTTCTGTCCATTATCACTGCTTTTATATGATACTGTGATTGTATTTCTACTACAGTTGAATTAGTACTGCAGCTCTATTTATACTGCCATTGTGATTCATTTGAACTAAAACACTGTTGTTGATTAGATCACATTTCTTGTGGATTGGGTTCATATCGAGACTTTGTGTAATCGACACGAAACATGATGTACATGCTCGTGATATATTCGGAATCGTGCAATAAATTTCTTATGATTATGGAAAGGCTTTTGTCGCATGTATTTATGCAAGGATAGAGTCTAATCATCATGATATACACCAGATGCACAAATGCACCATATGAGGCGGTCAGCATTACATACACTTAGTAATTCACACACAGCTCTTAAGAATGCGTATTTGTATTTTACACACCCGTGAAGATCCGGGGTAGAATCGGTCCTCAGTAACCCATGCTTGTCGTAAGAGGCGACTAACGGGATCGGCGACTAACTCGCTGACTTGGTTGACACATCTCATCGTATCACAATTGCGTAAGATGATGCTCATGCTGTTGATCACTGGATTGTCTGGTCCAGACTCGATTATTTACAGACCGCCGCCAAAAAGCTGGAATATTGCTGAGCGCGGCGTTAAGCAACAAACCAACCAAATCCTGCATCCAACCAACCAACCAACCAACCAAACTGCATTTAACACAAAGCCATAGCTTTTAGGTCATAGCTAAAGGCTACAGGCCCTGTTCCCAAAACACACGATGTAATATTTATAAGCAAACTAAAAACTTCGATTTTTCTTTATAATCTTGACAGCATAGTAGCAACAGTTAATCGTCTAGATATTTTCAGTGGATAAATAATAAACGTGTTCTGAAGCTGATATTTGAGTTCGCGGTCGTCGACGTGACAAACTTCTTCCACGAGCTGGATGTGCGGAACTGCATGATGTGGTATTTGTAGCTGTTCGTGGTTATAAGGACTGTTTCTTTTGGGATATAGGCGAGGCAGGGAGAGTTAATGACGGGCGCTCACACTTCCTGTTTATATTTCATAGCCTTCATTTGGAGAAACGTCATGCTTTTTATGCCGTCCTTATTTATAATTTAGTACACTAACACGCACACCAAGAGATACCACATGTTTTGTTTAAATTAGACAAAAATAGAATTGACGTAGAAGTCATTGCAGCGCGAAAAGGCGTTTGTATTAATAACTTAGTGGACTCGAATATACCTTTCTGTCCAGACGTGTCTGTAACTGTTAGTACTGCTGTCATTTTTTACACGTGCGAGTTTAAACAGAAACAACGTCCAATCCCAAATCCAAAACAAAACAAATAGAATTAATATTAAAATGAATAACATAATAACACAAAAATCGACATGTTATAAGTTTGATGTTTAATATGTTTCAGTCTCTAGCACATTATTTACACATTATTCAAGATGGTGGAAATGGTGTAAACACTTTCAGGATGTAAAAATGTCATTCTGGGTTCCTTAAAGGTCACATGCAACGTAAAACACAACTTTGCAGATTCTGATACCTTTCGGTATGGACTTACCGAAACAAATCATCAAAAATGCAAATTAAGCTTATAAAGTTGAAAAATAATGCGATGAAAAAAACCGCGCGAAATCGGAGTTCAAACGTTTCACTAATTTTCCCCCGACTTTCGGGGAAAACAGGTTTCAACAGCTGGACTGCGCTCATAGCACGTGCGCAGTGAAAAAGGTTCGCGCAGTTTGGAAGCGGGTTGTCCGGTGAATACTCGGTAAAGGCTTTGGTGTGAGCTATTTTTCTAATGTTTTGTTGATATCTCACAGGCGCGAGCTTTTTATATGTTATGACAGTAAATTAACTGTTTATATAATTTCATTTGTCTATTTAACCACGAATTTTTCTTACCGAGTCACTTTCTCAGTTCGATACTTAAAAGCAATGTCATTATTTAGCGTTGACAGAATTTCTAACTGTGATATAGATATGTCGTTGTCACAGACAAAACTCAATGTCTTGTTTTATTGACACCTGTGTATCTGCCTGCCTGTCTGCTAATGACAATATTCAATACACAGCTGCTATCACTGACCACATGCAATTTGAACTTAACACCAATCAGGCTATACACCATAAACAAAATGCATTGATTTATGGCCCGAGTTCGGTCTCTGTCACATTATGTAATTACACAGACAGGCAGGTGTGATACTTGAACACATGACATGTTATGATGTCTGTTGATTGTAAAATGTTATACACAAAAAATGAGCATGTATTTACAAAACCCAACATCTCTATATATACACACACAATGAGCCGTGAGGGCATCTGCAAATGAACCAGCCGTTACACTTGAGTGCACACCCAAGCGCTCTGACTGGGTCCGGTTCGGAAGTAAACCCAAGTACAAAATATTGCACTTTTGATTTGCGATTGTACGCTTATAATTTTGTTTATATGTTTTTTCATAACCAGCAATGTATATTATATGTCATGAATAAGTGATAATTGTGTTTTAATTATGTTTGATTTTTTGGTTGCATGTGACCTTTAAGACAAAGCTGCCTTAGCTCTACGACTGTCGTAACTATTATGGCTTAACATAGACTTATGACAGTCGTAGCGCTAAGATCGCTTTGTGAGACGGGACACTGGTGGGCGGAATCGACTTACAGCATATTGATCAGGTTTAAAAAGGGGATAGCGTTTTGTGGGTTGTGTCTGACAGGTGTGAGGCACCTGCACGCAGGTGGATACATGTGATGATGTTGACATGTCAGATGTCTAAAAGTGGTGGATGCGCCTGTGGACATACAAACACTTGATATACAATAACTCCGTGTTTGTTGATATACCGTGATGTCTAATTCAGATCTTAAGTGTTCTTAGTGAGCGGGCTGGATTTACGTCGCTTTAAGCAGGAGATCAGCAATATCGTGCGGGACAACATGAATGGGCTTCACACATGATACCCATGTGGAGAATCGAACCCGGGTTTTCGGCGTGACGAGTAAACGCTTAACCACTGGGCTAACCCCCCCCCCCTTTTGTAAAATAAATGATACACTCAACGTAATGACTAAACAGGGTGATCTTTAACAGACGATACAGATTAGAGAATGCTCCCATCAATAAATCCAAGAGTAGAAGCGAAGAAATACCCCATCTCCACATCCATTAGAGATCTCTTTTAGAGGCAGAATCGATTGAAGAATTCTGACTGAATCATGAATACTGTTTATGCATCACTAATAAATATTTATAGCATCAGGTGCACGCAAAAGTGAGAGTATCCTGCCCCATCGGTGGCACCAGTCATGGAGATTACAGCTAATTATACCTAAACAAAGTAGAAATGAGAGGTAACGGTTTCATCAATGCAGGTTGTCATTGGTGCACCATACACATATAAACAATATAAACATCTTACCTTAGCACCATCTGCTGTGAGAATCTAGACACAGAGCACGTTGAAGAACATTGCTTTCCCCAGTATGCACATTAAGCTCACTGTACGCCCCACCAGTAATTCTGCTCTCTTTGCCTTCACAGACAACGATGTATATACACAGGAGCAGTACTACGTGGACCACAGACGCAGAGGCAGCAGCAGGCTGAAACACCGAGGGCAACTCCCAGTGAGCCACTATACAGTATCTGCAACATATTACTTTGGTTTTTAAGATGTTACATGTAGTACCTGTTTGAGAAAGAGAAAATCTTCCCAAGTCAATATTTTGAAGATAAAGTTTGCTGGAATCAACACTCCGGTGTTATGAACTGTTGCTGTGGTAATAACAAGAGGCGTCTGCATGTTGAAGACGTTATGCGCCACATTCCAGTGTATGCAAGAAGCTGATTGTAAGTAGCTGTAGTTGAAAATAGTGTCTACCAGGAGAAATGTATGTTCAATTTTTTATCGTTTATTGTTTAAGGCTGCAGTCAGTAATATTCCAGCTATATGTCGGCGGTCTGTAAATCATGGAGTCTGGACCAGACAATCCAGTGATCAACATCATGAGCATCGATCTACGCACTTGGCATACGATGACATGTGTGAACCAACACAGCGAGCCTGACCACTTTAGTCTCCTCTTTGGAGCGGTGGGATAGCCTAGTTGTTAAAGTGTTCGCTCATCACGCCGAAGACCCGGGTTCGATGTTTGTATGTATGTATGTATGTATGTATGTATGTTATATGTATGTATGTATGTATGTCTGTATGTATGTATGTATGCCTTTTATGTATGTATGCATGTATGTTCATTACAGCAAATGTATCTGTATAGTATTTTATAATTAAATGGTTTGAATATAAGCACCTTAAGGATACATATGCTGTGAGTCCATGTTGCATTTGAACCTGTAACCTTTATATTGGCCACATTCTTCATTGAACTCGAATTCGAATAGGGTATATGATGCTTGTTATGTAGAACAAATGCAATGTACAACTGTATTAACAAGGAAGTCCTGCTGCCCAGCATATCAAACGACAAAACACATGAATTTTAATAATAATTAATAATAATGAGGTTACTTATGCACGCAATACTTTACACCACATATTGACATGCTCAAAGCGCGCACAAACAGCACAACATTATTACCCCGGATAACCCAAGCTGCCTGTTAGGCGCTAGAAGGTTATAGTCATATCACGTATCCCACCGGGTACCCATTTTCTGATGGGTGAACAGAGGCAATTTTGAACAAACTCTCTTGCCTAAGGTGAGACCACATGTATGACATGTGTTTCGTTGTGGGGTAGGACTGAAGTCCTAGAAACTCTCGGAGTCAAGGAGTCAAGCTGCCAAACACGGTCACCCATCAGAGGACTCTCCGCGCCCAACGTTGCTTAAGTTCAACTGATTTATGACCTGAGCTCTATGAACTGGACCACGCATTTTGTCAAGCGTGCCATCCTTTCTATCCCTTGTAAAATATATGTTGTTGTGGAATTGGCTATTGCTTTGTGTCTTTCAGACATTATTACACAATGCACTTTGAGTTGGACATAATATGCACTGCCCCATTAAGTTAACTAGAAGCGTTCCCGACATAATTACTGCTATATGTGTGTAGTACGTCGGTCTTGTACGTGTCTGATTACCGTCAAACTGTTGTACGTGAACATTTAACCTTATCAATGTTATTAATCACAGTTTGGCCAGTGTGCATTTCTCAAGTGCTCAGTATACATGCCCTATAGCAATAATTCCGATCATTTACATATTAAACAGACTAAATGTGGTATTGCAATGTATTGAAAAATAAGCCAACGGATGCTAGGATTAACAGCGTTGTTTGTGAAATGAATGAAATCAGCTTTTCATCGTCTAACGTAAGGTTGTTGAGTGCTGTCACCGTGCCACAAATCCTTGTGCCGGTTTGCATCCATTACTTGTGGTTGTTATTTTGCTGTGGACAGTCACGGTTTGTTCTGAAGATGGTTGTTTCAAAGCAACATACCGTGATAGGCCTTTCCTTCCCACGGTATAATTTGTCAACATGGGTCTGAAAATATGAATGAGGAAAGAAGAAATAGCACTCAAGCAAAGCCAGTTTAGAAGGCTACAAAGCTATTAAAATTGTCAACGTTTCCTTTAAAATCAAATGTGACAGCATTATTTGTCAAATGTCAACCGATGCTGTCGCGCCTTGGCTTTCCGAATATCAAATATCAAAATACATCTGAAACAGTTGAATACATCGTGTGAGTAATTATATTGTATTAGGAAAGCATCTGATTATCAAATCAATATATCAATCATTTGATTTCAACATTTGTATCTCATTTCTCGAAATTCATCTGTTATTTCTTTTCCATTCTGCTGATGAGACAGAGTGACAAAATCCTTCCACAGGACCGTCCGACAAGAAGGATGGCCTCATCCTTCAAATATCGAACTTCCATTTTTGCAGTATTCGTGTCTTGTTTGTTTACTTTCCACACACATTTGAAATACAGTGGAGCAAGTTGATCTGCGGAGATGTCTAAGAGCATCATGCGACACCATCAGTTTTGGACCCAAGTTTACAACATTCGAGGCTTTAGTAATGTTTATGGAAGATGTGACGGTGGACAGTTCGGAATGTAAAGCATCATGAACAAAAATGTCCTGTGTCATATGAACAGTTGACTTGCCTTTGAACATGTTTGTGACGAGTTCCACCAATGAGGACGAAACAAGCCCACTTGTACAAACACCTGGTATCATCACTATATGATTCATAAACAGCTACTTATGATATAGTCTGAAGTGTACAATCGACTGTTAAAACAGATATTCCTTCTGATAATGAAAAGAAAAGTCTTCCCCTCCACCTCCTTCTTCTCCTCCTATTCCCCTTCATCTCCTCCTCGTCTTCCTTTTACTTCCTCGTCTTCTCCTCCTTCTCCTGTATCTTCCTCCTTTTCTCTCGTCTCCTCCTTCTTCCTCGTCTTGTCCTTCTTCCTCGTCTTCTCCTCCTTCATCATCTTCTTCTCCTCTTTTTTCTACTCCCTCTTCGTCTCCTTCTTCCCTCAGATTAAAATCAATATATGCAGCAAAGAGGGTTAGGCTGGTCCTGGCTTAGTAAAGCTGGTTAAGTTCATCATGAGGTCAGAGGCCTTACACTATTTACTCGCAGCCCAGGATGCTGAGCCTAGTCTGACCACCAAGAACTTTTGGGATAATATACAGCCTTCAGCATTAACCAGAGTGTCAGAAGGTAATCTGCAATTATCAGTTAAGAGATTCTTCGTGTTATCGTTATCATAATTAGTATTGTATACTCTTCGTCCAATCGATAACCCAGAAATGATTCAATGACACTATCACAGGAGATTATTACGTGAAGGTTTTGTAAATGTGCTGTACCTGATATCGAGTGGTCAATAGATGATTCAATTACATGGTTGTCCTTAATCATTCTACGCTGAAGACCCGGGTTCGATTCCCCACATGGGTACAATGTGTGTGAAGCCCATTTCTGGTGCCCCCCGCCGTGATATTGCTGGATTATTGCTAAAAGTGGCGTAAAACTAAACTCACTCACTTAAATATTCTATTACATTAAACACTCAGAAGGGTTTCAACATTAGTATTTCCGATTTCCATACTCTACTCATCAACACATATTTTGAAAATATAATGAATTGAATAATTCTGTACAGCTGGAAATATTTGCTCTGAAAAACACGAACATTAAATAAACAGTTTAGACAAAATGACAACAGTGCAGCATTAAACAACAAACAACAAATTAAAACATCGGTATTAGATACTAGGCGTATCGATCAGCAAACGGTGACAACATTTACCAATCAGTTTAGCATGACAATGCATAATGGAAGTTCTCGCTAATGCAACGACGTAGAGTAAGCTCATTATATGGTCGAGAGATGTCACACCGACATTGGATGAGTTCAAAGCACTCTGATGTCATGTCAACCCGGATGGTCATATGAATATGAACCGCAATGAGCTCCAGTACCTTTTGTTCATTTCTTTTATTCGATACATTATTATTAATATAGGGCAATTTCTACCCAGCTGGTAAAAGCTTTATGCCACGTGTTCATGCATAATACATACATGAATACCATAATACAACGCCAGAGAATAATCAGTCTCCATCATCTCTCGAAACAGATTCACAGGGGCAATTAGGCAAACTGTTGGAAAGTATGCGTTCACTAAAAATCAGCGATGACACCAGGTGTTCGATAAAGGGTAAGCATGTCCCGCTGTACCGATAACACCCGCTACTCACAGATGTTATATACGGTCAACGCCAGAGAATAAATAACAAGTATCGATTTTATGCTTGAACAGACTTGAAAGTGTAAGCATGCTCTTTCCCACCGGTGGAACCGCCGCTCATATGTGTATCTAAACAGTGTGTCTGTTGCCTAATTCGACAAGTGGGTGAGTTTTGGTTTTACGCGTTTGCAATATTCAAGCAACCTCACGGCGGGGGACACCAGAAATGGGCTTCTCACATTGTACCCATGTGGGGAATCGAACCCGGGTGTTGGGCGTGACGAGCAAACGTTTTAACCACCAGGCTAACCCGCCGCCCCCGTAGATTGTATGCTGTCAGACTGATGGTATATTAGCAAGGTTAAATTGTTTATATTAGTGTTTATCATTTTAATGTAGAAAGTGAAAATGTGAAGCTACCCCACCGCCCTAATTCGACGAATTGAATCTCAATACAATCAATACAATTTTCAGCACAATCTCATCAGCACAGTTTTCTGTCGTTAACTGCAAGTCAACGATGACACCAGGTGAGGTGAGGTGAAATTGGGTTTAACGTCGTGCTTGAGAATATTTCGCTCATATGACGACGTGCATGCATGTGTATGTGTATGTGCGGCTGCTTGTACTAGCCCAGACTGAAGCTGGTTTTATAGTGCTAGCCCACTGAGATACCATGCCGCAATGAAGCATGAATGCCCCACTCAGACACATTATACTGACTCCGAGCCGACCAGTCCTTGTTGTACCCATTAATGCCGAGCGCCA